GCGAGGCGGCCGCGGCGATTGGGCGGCGGCGCGGGGGGCCTGGTCGCCAGGGGCCGGGGCGCCGGCGGGGACACGTGCGAGGATGCACCTTTTTTGGGCTGCATCACGCGGCCCAGGAGCCGGGGCCTGCTCCAGCCCGGCCTGTGGCGGCGGGAGAAGTGGGCTCCGCCGGGGAAGGACGCTTGCCCTGGCCGGCCGCCTGGTCCTGCAGCGCGTCTCCGCGGGGCGGCTGGGGACGCGGCGGAGGGAAGGCAGGGGAGGCCAACCCGGGTTAGGAAACGTATCAGAAGCCCCGCGAGTTTCCAGTCGTCTTTCCCCAGGCCCCAAAATTATCTTTGTGCGGGTCGCAAAGAACAAAGGAGTGTCCGGTAGTGAAGTTAGGGGAAGATCCCGGACCAGGTATCTGGAGAGCTCCGGCCCTTAAACTCGCCCTGCGCCTCTGGTTATTTGTAAATCGAAGGTATAAAATAACTGATGTTGAAAGACGCTGCTAGCTCTTGAAGGTCGATCTGATTGCTGGAAGAGGCGCCATTCGACCCATATAATACCCTCTAGTTCACTTTTTTACCAGCTTTTTATTTGAAAGCTTGTGAATAAGGGGGGGGAGGGGGGAGCCAAAATTTCACGTGTTCATAATATCTTTAGTAAAACAAAAAAAGTACAAAAATGTTAATCATACAAACTCGGTGTCTTAGTGGAACATCTAGTAAACGAATATGCTTGACTCTTCAATACTGATGTATTCCACTGAGTGTTTGGTTGGTTGCTAAGCTTAACGGTAAACACAAAGAAAAACGTGAAGACAGCCAGGCTGGCCAAACATGGCTGACTCGGTAGCAAAACAGACACTAAATCACAGTGGCATGTGAGTCAGTTTATTCAAATTGCTGTTGCAAAATATTCTTACGCTCATTTTAGGAAATTGAGAGTCATTGGGCCATGCAAGGACCCTGGGAGCTGACAGTTGAGGACTTTCTTGTGTTCTCCTGGGCAGCTTGTGTTGTACACTGTCCAAATGGCATTATTCCTACCAGCTCTTCCAAAGTACTGCCCATTCCGGTATATAAAACAAGAAGAGGAAGAAAAGGAAGGGAGGAAAGAAGGAGAAAGAAAGGAACGAAGGAAGGAAGACGAAACAACATATTTAAGAAGCATTATTTCCTTTTCTCTTACGGTAAAGAAGTTGAGTAATTTTAACAGTTGAAAGTACTCCTTTAATCCCCTGAACAAAATCTGTTCTAGCCTATTTTATGGCATGGATTGAAATATAATATAAATATTATGGCTACACTGTGCACTGAGTAAAATGCAGTCGGAAATAACAAGATCAAAAGGACATACACCAAAGCTTCAGTCGTACTTTGTCAATCATTCGAATGTATTAACCATGAAAATTATAACGGCCATTGCACCATTATTATGAACCAGGCACGTGGTTTTCAAACTCTTATTATCTCATTTAATTCTCTCACCAATCCTATGAGGTAACTAACCTTGTTATCTCCATTTTTATGTGTGAGTAAAAAGGCACAGAAAGTTTCAGTAAGCAGCCCACAGCAAGGAAGGGACAGAGACATTGCTAAAATTCATCCATTTACAGTTAAAGATGTGTATGTATACACACACACACACACACATATATAATTTGATTTCTAGGAGAATCATTTACAGAATGCCTTCAAATCCCAGCGTATTTAAAGGAGTTATTCACCACTAGCTCTGAATGAAAAATGAACTTCCTATAATTATTTCCAATAACCAGTTTCATCCTTAGGAATGATGAAGCAGACGAAGCTAAACTAATCAATGAGTCTATAAAGGCATAAATGTCTTGGTACTTAGAGTGGATTTGACCTCAGGCCCCAGAAAATGGTCACTGTTACGCCTTTATACACCTATCTTGTTGACACTGAAATACAAATTTAAAAAGTCAAGGTGAAGAGTTTTACCAGGCATTAAGCTGTGTTCTTCCCAGCTTTTTTTTCCTGGTTGAGTTCTCCATGTGAGATTTCTTTTTACATTTCAAAGAATCATGGTATTTATTAGAAGGGATTATTTATGGGATCCATTTGAGGTCAGATTCTTGAAGCTATTAAGACCAGCTGAATTTAGAGCAAGAATCAGCTCAGTAAAGAAACATAATTCTGATAATAATTTTTGAAAGACCTAACTAATTTGTTGTCATTGAATTTCATTTGTATAGTGCTATCTCATATATAACCACAATATTTCTTGAAGAATGGGTGATAAATTCACATTTAGAGTTTCAGGATCCAATTCAAATGTAAATTCTTTGAAAGCTCCCTCAGGGAAAGCTATTATTTGGAACTATGGTAATTTATGTTTTCGGAAACAATCTTTCACTAGTCAGTGAGTTATCATAAATCTTCCCTCATAATATTGTATATGTACAGACACACTCACTGCTGCAAATCATATTTCATTGAAATAGTTCAGGGACCGTTATGAGCATTAGTTTATTGCTTGTCAGAACACACTAAGAATTACACGTGCCACATATACTATTCCCAATTTTGTGGCTTCAAAAACAAAATAAAAACAAACCCTTCCAGAGAGAATTTGATGATCGCTTAGAAATTTTGCATATTCCAACTGACTTTTCTATGGGTTGCAAAATTGTACATTAAGCTACTTGAAATCCCTTGGAGGCTCTGGAACAACAGACTGATTTGATCCACACCAGAGCTTCGTCCCAAAATTCCACATCTCTCAACTATTTTAAAAATGCATGTCCCTTTATGATACATGTAAAAATCTCCTATCTGCAGAAGATTCCAGTAATTCCTCTTCCCACCCCATCCCACCGCAGACAAGTACTGCACTTGTAGTGCATCACCAACAGTCAGTTTAGTCAAGCATTTTTTCCTGTAATTTATGCCATAGAAAGATTGATTTTTTTTAAATGGTCCGAGTATAATATTAAAAGGAAGCATACGCCTTTTCAAAAGAAATTGCCCTACCCCTTCCCTGACACAGCCCATTCCCACCTGCCGTCAGCATTACAAAACCCACACCCTCTCTCCACACCTCTCAAAGGAGAGACTCTTCCCGACAGGTTGGCCAAGCCTGGGTTCTGTCAGGCAATGACCTCAGCTCACTTTTCCTAGGGACAGTAGAGAGCCAAACCAGGTGACTGGACCTTGAGGGTAGAGACACCAGCTCAGAGCTTCCTTCAGATGTAAGAAGATCCTCCTAGGTCTGGGGGAATTCGAATGGCAGGCCAGTTGAACCCTTTCTCAAAAGGGGTAGAGGGCTTGATAACTCAACCCCTAGGAATAAAAGAGTGGTGGCTGGAAGGGATGATTTGAAACTCCCAAGGGAACTTGCAAAGCGTTTGAGAAAGGGGAAAGAGGTTAGCTGAAAGCCGAGCTGGTTCATTTAGACTCAAATGGGGAATGGAGACTGAGGTGGGGGAAAAGGGGGACAGTAGGGATGGGACAGGGGGCTGGCAAACGTCACAAGTACTTTTTAAGAATTTGAACAATCTTGGGGTGCCTGGGTGGCTCAGTCAGTTAAGCATCTGACTTCGGCTCAGGTCATGATCTTACCAGTTCATGGGTTCGAACTCCGCGTTGGGCTTTGTGCTGACAGCTCAGAGCCTGGATCCTGCTTAGGATTCTGTCTCCCTCTCTCTCTGCCCTTCCCCAGCTCGCTCGCTGTCTCTGTCTCTGTCTCTGTCTCTGTCTCTCTCTCTCCCCCTTAAAAATAAACATTAAATACTATGTGGCAATGAGAAAGAATGAAATATGGCCTTTTGT